CCAGCACCACAGTTCAAAGGCATCAATTCTTCGGCGCTCAGCCTTCTTTATGGTCCAGCTCTCACAGCTATGGTCCAGCTCTCACAGCCATACATTACTACTGGAAAAACCATAGCTTTTCTGCGGATCTTTGTCGGCAAGGTGATGTCTCTCCTTTTTAATATGCTGTCTAGGTTTGCCATAGCTTTCCTCCCAAGGAGCAAGTGTCTTTTAATTTCATGGCTGCAATCTCCATCTGCAGTGATCTTGGAGCCCAAATAAATGAAGTCTGTTACTGCTTCCATTTCTACCCCTTCTATTTGCCAGGAATTGATGGGTCCAGACTGCCCACTATAGCCTATTGATTAAATCATTCAACTAGATTTGCAGGACTGGCAGTCTGCTAACTGAATGTGTCTGTCTTCCAAATGTGGTACTGTATTATGCAGTTCTTTTGAACCTGATTTCCTTTTAAAAAAAAAAAAAAAATCCCCCGGCTGAGGATTGCACCCGCCAATACGGTTAGAACTAGAAGGGAGAACCCAACCACCCAATTCCCACTCAAGCCTCAGTTGACGGTAAGCTCTGTGGGTGGAATTGTAAAGACTCTTCACGCCCCTGCTCAGAAACAGAGGCTGCTCTAGGAAATGGATTATTGACTGCTGCAGGTTTTACTTTCTATTTCTGTGCTTGTAAAACAAGAAAAAAAAGTTGGCAGGGACACTGGCTTTCTGCAAAACGGCCTGTGTGTATTTCAGCCCTGTCCTACCTGTTTCCCCAGAGGCAGCCACAACTGGTGCCAGTGAAGAGCATTCCTGCTATAAGATGTTGCAGGGTCAACCTTAAAAAAAGGGGGCGGGTAGCCCAATTCTAGATGCTGAAAGTTGAGTGGGTGGCCCTGTATCTCCCAGGTGGAAGTGACTTACACTAGAATAAAGAGCAGAGAATCAGTCGAGGATGAGCTGAGCAAAACATTGCCCATGAGTCAGTAATACTTAAACGGTAATAGCAGCTGCCTCTAGTTTCTGCTGTCTGTTTCTGGGATTTTCCATCGGCATTACTTAACTAAAATCCCCGTAATTCTCCCAATCTTTCGTACCTTGCATGATTTGTTCTCTGAGAAATATAACATCATCAGTCTGTATATCACAGTATCAAAGTCCCCTTTAAATGTGTATAATTATTTCATTTTTGCATCTGTTGTGTTTTCTGATTCTTATTAGCCTGGCTTTCTTCAGAAACTCTGTGATCCAAGAGCTGCCAGGAAGTCGCTAATGCCAGTCCATCCATTGGTGGAGCACACGTGAGATAGTGTTCTCTATTTATCTGCCCATCTATTTGTCAAAACATATTAATTGCTATCTGGGGTGAGGAGGAGCTGGCTGTGAAAATGCAGCTAAATCCTTAATTTGTTTTAACATAATTTCTATGTGCCCATTTATTTCTTTCAATTTTGACAAAGTGATAGGAGATATACCAGTTGTTTTTTTTTAGTCTAGCTCACTGCATCACATACAGCTAGCCCTGAGTTCAGCCCAGTACCTACCCCCAGCCAGGGCTAGGTTCAGTTGTGTAATTTGTATTTTGTTCAGTTTTAAAGCTTTATTGTAGCTCTGTGGCTATGTTGCCCAACACATTGAACCACATTAGATTAGTGTGTTGTGCAAATCCAGTCCATGTGGTTAGTTTATGATTCAGTGTGCTTCACAAACACAGAAAATTGCTTAATTTCTAACCACATTTAAATTAATCATGGATAAGTGGCTTATGCAAAAGGCCTTTTTGTCATAGCTCACGGTCAGTATAATTAATAATGGAACTAGATAATTGTGGAACATTCATAGGACTCTTTGGATATTTTGTTAAAGCAATGTATATGGGTTAGGGAATCCCAATGAACCATCTGTGCACAACTTTATTTACAGTCATCTGTTTATAGCAATTAGTACATGCCTACTGCTAGCTATACATTTCTAACACCATAGGCACCACTGAGGTGGGGAGCGATGAAACACACACCATCACAACACACGCTGCCTGTATTGTGTTTGCATACATTACACAGCCATTATGAAAGGATGGAGCTTGTACTGTGATGTTACAAAGTACATTCTGTGATTTTGACATTATTGTGGTTAGGAACAGATGTCTGTGCCCAGCTCTATCAGTTCATGTAATACAACAGCAGCTATTCCCACTTCCTGATCTTAATTAAATTTTTGTGATTAGAAAATGATGGAAGAAGAAATAAAATAGCACAAGAGACTTCATGGGGAACACGGCAACAACTGGAGTTTCTGTAAAATTCCAATAATGTGGGAGACCTCATCTGATGTGAAAATTGACTGTCAAACTTCTTTTAAAGTAATGGATTTGATCTCCTGGCTTCCCAACATGGAGCCCTTAAAGTGTGTTGGGGTGAGAACTCAAGCAACATAGCTAAATAGTGTGGGAACCAAGACTATGCTGGCTAAGAATTATGAGAGAAATATTTGGAGGGCTCTAGGTTGAGTAATGCTGATGTGGCATTTGGCTTGGGATTTTGCATTTCAAATTACAAAGGAAAAGCCGCCAACATGTTGCAGGGAACCATGCTGATGTCTGAAATTTTGGGAAAGCATTTTTTTTTCATTAGTGAAAAAAGGGGAAATTCACAGCCAACTCAACAATTCTTCTCCTGAAAATGTGATGATTTATGGCTTCCCCATGTGTATTGTTCATAGTTTTATTTTGCCCTTCTGCTAATCATCATTACAGAAGACTATGATTAATCTCCCTAACCAAGGGAGAACCAACTTCAAATCTGCCCTTAGTGACCGAAACTTACTGAGTAACTTTGGACCAGTAACTCATTCTCAACCCAATCAACTTCACAAGCTTGTGATTATGGGGGAAATGCCAAGGAAAGAATATTATAGGCACCATCTAATACCCCTGCTGGAGGGCAGCATATCGATCTAAAAAATAAAATAATAAATGCATTATAAATGCAGCAATGTAGCCATCATAAAAACATAAAAGCAGCAATAAAACACTCAAGGTAATTTAAAAGTCCAAGTTAAAAAAAATGTTTTATGAATTCAGAGAATGCAGGTTGGAAGGCAATTGAAGCTCTGAAAGAGAGACATTTTGCAGGAAAAAACCCTTTTCTTGATCAGATATTGCAGCTGAGGTATGGTAGCCCTTGGGTAGGGTTTCCCTACTGGGCACCCTCCTGAAAGGGGACCTCCAGCTCCTAGAATTTCCTACTGGTGAGAATTCTGGGTTGAATTCCACACATCTAGAGACTGCCCAGGTTGGAAAACATTGCCTGAGCAGTTTCCTTGAAGGAGATTTCCTGTAAATCTCAGTAACTTCCCCATCCATACTGACATAAGTAGTCCCCTTGATAGCCAGGCTCTAACCCTTAAAAATTAAGTGGTTTTAAATGTCAAATCAATTATTTGAATTGTGCCCAGGAATAATTGGGAGCCAGGGCAAGACATTCTATAATACAGGTAGCCCTCATTGAGTAACCACAGTTGGGACCGGCAACTCAGTTGTTAAGCAAAGCAGTTGCTAAGTGAAAAATCAGATGACTGTGGCTGTGCTTATGATCCTACTTCAGCTTTCCTTTGCTTTACAGACCTGCAAATATTGTAAATGCAGGCATTGGTTGCAAGGTTACTTTTTCATCATTGTGGTAACTGCAAACGGTCGCTGTCTGAGGCAACTGCTAAACGAGGGCTATCTGTAGCCCAATGTGATGTGGATGCAATAAGCAGTCTGCTTGCTACTTTTTACAACAGTTGAAAGTTCTGGGTGTTCCTGCAGACTCGCAGTATAATAGTGCAAGTATGATGTAATCAGGGCATGGGTTACTATAGCGAAGTTGGACCATTTGAATAAAACCTGTAGCTGGAGCATTGAAGGCAGTTGTGTAAACACATGCTTTGCCTCCACCCTCACCTGAAAATCTGGGGACAGAAGAGGATCAAAAAGCACTCCCAAGCTAGCAATACGAAGGGAAATGCAACCTTTAGCTTCATGTAATTGTGTTTAATAACACAGGAGACAAGCTGTAAGTCTGGGCAACACTACTTCTGGGGGTCTTTTGAAAATGGGGTGAGGCAATGTTCTTTTGGCAGCACGATGGTTGAATAACTCTAGGAGATGCTGATGGGGATCTTCCGTTAAATCCTGCATGGGATGGAAATCACATAAAAACATGATGCAACATTTCATCAACAAGTGTCCATCAACAAAAGAAACATTTTTGGAACGGAAACGGGACTGTCCAACAAACAAGAAGTCAGAGGTCCAAGGAGATAGAGAGAAAGAAAGAGAAACTAAGAAGGTTGAGTGTTTTTTGGATTGTGTCAAGGTCCGTGGTAAGATTAGTGAATTTCTTGGTACTTGTGGTGCTGGATGTTCTGAAAATACAGGAAGGTATTGGATCGGAACCCTCAATTAATTTTGTTATGAATGGATTATGCTATTTAAATTTTCTTCTGTATGCTGGGAGATGCTTAAGCCATGGATGCCAGAAACAGCATCATTAAAAATATGAAGGTGTCTGTACCACAGCCCATACAGAATAGTAAGTAATAAGTTACGTATACATTTTATATAATTAGCAGAAAAAGGAAAGGAAAAATTTACAGTCTTGAGCAAAGATGCTGATGTGGCATAGTGCTGTCGGGAGTAACTGGGTAATGATCTCTCTTTTTTTTTAATTAAAATGTATTCCCCCCAAGTCTCTCACTGAATTAAATTGAATATTCTTATAGTACATAGATTGACCTGTAAAGAAAATAAATGATAACTTAATGAAGACTTTGTAATTTATTAAACTGTTGCACTACTTTTTTGTAAATTGTTGTTATTATTATTCACTCTGGGCTGCTTTCAGAATGATCTTCCTTGAAATGTACATGGAGTAATCAGTTCTTGTTTTACATAGCTTGTTTTTCTCTCAGCTGGAAGAGTCTGTTAGGGAGAAAGAACAAAAACATAAATCTTTGAACGCATGGATGTGCTACAGGATTTTGTTTGTCCAGGCTGGGTTGTGAGGGAATGCCAAGCAATTCAGGTCTAAATCATTGTTCTCTTGGGATAATTCTATTATACCTTAATCTGCCTTAACTGTTCTCATGAATCTTGCCATTGTAATTGATTGCTTTCCCTGTTAGAAAACAAAGGATCCCTGATATTATGATAGGACAACTTATCAAAGAGCAGAGTAATGAGAAATATTTCGTAGTTCTACAATTAGGCTGCTGAAAATTTTAAATGCAATGTGGTTCACAGCTGTGTAAAACATCTGTTCATTATTTGTCTGTTTGGAAGAAGCAAATGTGATTATTGTGCAGGAGGGGGGAAAGGGATGAGGTGGGCTAGAGAAATACGTAGAAGTCCATGCATGTTCCACCATACTCCCCCATTAGTGCGGTTGGGCTAGTTTCTTCACAATAATAAAAAAGAGCCAAACTGTAGAGGAGATCTAACTGAACCTATCCCTATCCCAAAAGGTACAAAATAAGGCTGCATCCTAGCCTCATTGTTGTTTGATTTATATATTAATGATACGGTTGAAGTCTTTGCTTTACTTCCTCTGTCCCTCTCTTGCCCATTGCCCTGTTCCCATCCTTCTCTACGCTGATGGTGCAGCTATTCTTTCCATAACCCAGATGGGCCTGTGTAGATGCCTTGAAGCATTATTTTCCTATTGACCCAGAGAATGCCATGAGATCAGTTACTCTAAAATGTTTGTAATGTTTTCCAGAAACCTTTTCAAGTCCCTGATCACCTGGAAGATTAACAATAGGCCTACTGAGCAAGTCATGACCTTCTGTACTAGGCATGCACTTTCAATCATCTACTCACTGAATCAATCAAGCAAAGAACATTATTATAAGAGTCCAAAAAGCATCTTTTGCCATGACTGAATATGTATATCAACACAGTAATAACTGTGTAGCAACAGCTGTCAAATTATTCAAGGTAAATTATTGGGCTCAGTGCTAAATGGGGCCCCATTATGTATTTATAAAGATGCTTCTAGATCAGAAGCTATCCAATCCAAATTTTTAAAGGCCATAACTCAGGTTCCTTATTCTGCCCTAACCTTTCTTATCCAGCTGGAATTAGGCTCTGTCTCCAGTAAGGCTGCTAAATTTTTAACAATAGCCATGGCTTTCAGAGATATCTGGTGCCTCCCTTACACTATTAATTGCTTCCAACTTTTCTGTATATGAACTTTAAAAAAAAAAGCATCATGGGATCTTTGATGTGTTGTAATATTTTCTTTTAAATATTAGTCTTGGGCTGTAAAATAAAAGAAGCAAGTTGTGTGGACGCTATGTTGAAGTTATGCAAGGAACAAAAACTGGAAACAATGCTGAAACAGAAAAGAAGGTTCAGTCCTGGAGAAAGCCCAGGCCTTGTGTAAATCATTCATACTAGCATACACAAAGACCAGCTTGAGCTTAGGGAGCAGATTCCAGATGTTTGTATCAATTCAAAGGAAATAAAAGTTCTTCCACTTATTCATTTAAAGGTCCAGCTGGGAAAGTGGTTTCAAAGAAATGAGCAAAAGGATGACGTTGGTATAGGTACTGATTGATCTTTCAGCTGCAGATTGGTTCACATCTTTCAGTAAATTCACTGAAGTGGTAGATTAATATCTGATTCATACTGCACTTCAGCTTCCAGGGCTTTGCAACAGTGGCCCATTCTTCTGGAATGAACAGGATTTTCTTTTTGAAAATTGCAATCAAAATAGATAAATGGGGGGAGGGGTACTGTTTTTTTTATTTACAACATCTGTATACTCCCCACACCAAAGATTCTGCATGATGCACAATTAAAACATTGACCTAAGACATAGCTGAAAATTAACAAGTATTTATGTACATAATACTAGTAGAACTCTCCTTTGGTGAGTAATAGTTGCAGCACAGTGAAATGTTTTGATGGAATGGGTCACTTGAAATCATGAACAAGCTACTAATTTGGGTCTGAAAAGAAACTGAAACTTAGATCGAAATCTTCCTTAATGACATGCGCATGAGGGAGTTTCATGACATTGTGAATCTTCTGAATCATAGGTTCAGGGGAGATTTTATAAACAGGAATTTCACCTTTATTAAAGATCAAATCAAGATTTATTTGGCATTAATAGCAATTAGCTGTATTGCTACTTCTAGGACAGTTTTCCTAACCAGATTATGTCATACTGTATCATTGGTTATGCTGGCTGAGATACTATCCTGATGAAAACTAAACTTTCAACTGCTATTAGCATTTCTACAGTCAGGTCCAGAAATATTGGGACATTGACACAATTCTAACATCTTTGGCTCTATACACCACCACAATGGATTTGGAATGAAACAAACACAATGTGCCTTAACTGCAGACTGTCAGCTTTAATTTGAGGGTATGTACATCCAACTCAGGTGAACGGTGTAGGAATTACAACAGTTTGCATATGTGCCTCCCACTTGTTAAGGGACCAAAAGTAATGGGACAGAATAATAATCATAAATCAATAATTTGAGGGTATGTACATCCAACTCAGGTGAACGGTGTAGGAATTACAACAGTTTGCATATGTGCCTCCCACTTGTTAAGGGACCAAAAGTAATGGGACAGAATAATAATCATAAATCAATAATTTGAGGGTATGTACATCCAACTCAGGTGAACGGTGTAGGAATTACAACAGTTTGCATATGTGCCTCCCACTTGTTAAGGGACCAAAAGTAATGGGACAGAATAATAATCATAAATCAATAATTTGAGGGTATGTACATCCAACTCAGGTGAACGGTGTAGGAATTACAACAGTTTGCATATGTGCCTCCCACTTGTTAAGGGACCAAAAGTAATGGGACAGAATAATAATCATAAATCAATAATTTGAGGGTATGTACATCCAACTCAGGTGAACGGTGTAGGAATTACAACAGTTTGCATATGTGCCTCCCACTTGTTAAGGGACCAAAAGTAATGGGACAGAATAATAATCATAAATCAATAATTTGAGGGTATGTACATCCAACTCAGGTGAACGGTGTAGGAATTACAACAGTTTGCATATGTGCCTCCCACTTGTTAAGGGACCAAAAGTAATGGGACAGAATAATAATCATAAATCAATAATTTGAGGGTATGTACATCCAACTCAGGTGAACGGTGTAGGAATTACAACAGTTTGCATATGTGCCTCCCACTTGTTAAGGGACCAAAAGTAATGGGACAGAATAATAATCATAAATCAATAATTTGAGGGTATGTACATCCAACTCAGGTGAACGGTGTAGGAATTACAACAGTTTGCATATGTGCCTCCCACTTGTTAAGGGACCAAAAGTAATGGGACAGAATAATAATCATAAATCAAACTTTCCCTTTTTAATACTTGGTTGATGTTAGAATTGTGTCAATGTCCCAATATTTCTGGACCTGACTGTAGATAAATGTCTTCAGAAGGACAACTTCTATTGGGAATTCAGCTGAAAAGAAAAAAAAATAACACATTTTCTCACCTGTGCTGGTCCTCCTGAAAAATTCATGCTGCAGGAATCTATTAACTAAACCGGTGCTGAGCGCCTCTCAAGCAATGCATTTAGCTTCCTGTATGAACATCAGTGGTTATTTAAAAAAACATGGAGAGATGCAGTGGGAAAACTTCTCTGTGGCAGCCTTCTGCTACTGGACTGATTTTAATTCATGGTTTCATCTCATAATTCTTGTGAACAATCTTTTTAGCACAAGTTTCTGAAATATGTGCAAAGTTCTCCAAGTCAATGTGCTGCTTCTAACTTTCTTTGTAAGTTTATAGTGATTATTTTTAAACCTCCTACAGTACAGTTACTAGAGGTTTTGGGTTGTACATGGGAAACCCAGCTTCCACTTTCAGCTCTGTGCTGAATCATGCAACACAAGTATCGTTCTACTGAGATAACCATCTCTAGTTTTTTGCATAGCTAAGACGATTCTATTAATAACGTGGGATGCAGTTTAATCCCATCCTTCCTCCAAATAGAGTCACATATGGGGGCAGATCTACATGGGACTCCTTTGTGTAGATGAGGCACTACGTTGAAAGTAATTTTGCCAAATACAATTGCTGTTCAATGGGCACATGACAAACAATACAGTGAAATATCAATTGTGTTTATAAGATGAGCACCACACACAGTTCATATCTGTGGGGATAAGTTAGGATACAGTAGCATTCTAGTACTTCTGTTTCATACATAAGAGATAGTCCCTCCCCCACTTTTTTGCACCATCCCTCCATCCACCCATATATCCATCTGAAAGGGGCTTGTTCTCTGTTGTACAGGACCCAAAATCAAGTTGTACAGGACATAAAGTCTAAGCTACAAGAAGGCAGATTCTGCTTGCTTTAAACTAGGTTCCTGCATGGGATTGGACTGAATGATCTATGACTAGGAGATACTAGAGGAAAGGCCTCGGTGATTGGCAATCAGTAAAATGAAGTTTTAGTTGCTATCTCTGGGGAGTCATTTTTAGTTTGAATTTGTAATGGTATGTAAGAATGACCTTGGGAGATGCGCCCAGAGGTGC